GTGTGTGTGTGTGTCACACGCACATGGGTTAGTATTGAAGATATATGACATACTCATATATTTACTCACTTACTCATCCCCTTTATCCCTTTATCATCCTCTGTACCCTTTATCATCCTCTGTACCTCTATCATCCTCTGTACCCTTTATCATCCTCTGTACCCTTTATCATCCTCTGTACCCTTTATCATCCTCCTGCCCTATCATCCTCTGTACCTTTATCATCCTCTGTACCCTTTATCATCATCTTTACCCTTTATCATCCTCTGTACCCTTTATCATCATCTTTACCCTTTATCATCCTCTGCCCTTTATCATCCTCTGTACCCTTTATCATCTTCCTTTACCCTTTATCCTCTCTTCCTTTATCATCATCTTTTCCTATCATCCTCTGTACCCTTTATCATCATCTTTACCTTTATTCCTCTGTACCCTTTATCATCATCTTTACCTTTATCATCCTCTTTACCCTTTATCATCATCTTTACCCTTTATCATCCTCTGTACCTTATCATCATCTTCCCTTTATCATCCTCTGTACCCTTTATCATCATCTTTTACCCTTTATCATCCTCTGTACCTTTATCATCATCTTTACCCTTTATCATCCTCTGTACCTTTATCATCATCTTTACCCTTTATCATCCTCTGTACCCTTTATCATCATCTTTACCCTTTATCATCCTCTGTACCCTTTATCATCATCTTTACCCTTTATCATCCTCTGTACCCTTTATCATCATCTTTACCCTTTATCATCCTCTGTACCCTTTATCATCATCTTTACCCTTTATCATCCTCTGTACCCTTTATCATCCTCTGTACCCTTTATCATCATCTTTACCCTTTATCATCCTCTGTACCCTTTATCATCATCTTTACCCTTTATCATCCTCTGTACCTTTATCATCATCTTTACCTTTATCATCCTCTGTACCCTTTATCATCATCTTTACCCTTTATCATCCTCTGTACCTTTATCATCCTCTGTACCCTTTATCATCCTCTGTACCTTTATCATCATCTTTACCCTTTATCATCCTCTGTACCCTTTATCATCCTCTGTACCCTTTATCATCCTCTGTACCCTTTATCATCCTCTGTACCCTTTATCATCCTCTGTACCTTTATCATCCTCTGTACCCTTTATCATCCTCTGTACTTTATCATCCTCTGTACCCTTTATCATCCTCTGTACCCTTTATCATCCTCTGTACCCTATCATCCTCTTTACCCTTTATCATCCTCTGTACCCTTTATCATCTCTTTACCCTTTATCATCCTCTCTTCACCCTTTATCATCCTCTGTACCTTATCATCATCTTTTACCCTTTATCATCCTCTGTACCCTTTATCATCATCTTTACTTTATCATCCTCTGTACCCTTTATCATCATCTTTACCCTTTATCATCCTCTTTTACCCTTTATCATCATCTTTACCCTTTATCATCCTCTGTACCCTTTATCATCATCTTTACCCTTTATCATCCTCTGTACCCTTTATCATCATCTTTTCCTTTATCATCCTCTGTACCCTTTATCATCATCTTTACCCTTTATCATCCTCTGCCCTTTATCATCATCTTTACCCTTTATCATCCTCTGTACCCTTTATCATCATCTTTACCCTTTATCATCCTCTGTACCCTTTATCATCATCTTTACCTTTATCATCCTCTGTACCCTTTATATCATCTTTACCCTTATCATCCTCTTCCCTTTATCATCATCTTTACCCTTTATCATCCTCTGTACCCTTTATCATCCTCTGTACCCTTTATCATCATCTTTACCCTTTATCATCCTCTTACATCATCTTCCCTTTATCATCCTCTGTACCCTTTATCATCATCTTTACCATCTCTGTACCCTTTATCATCACTCTTACCTTTATCATCCTCTGTACCCTTTATCATCCTCTTTACCCTATCATCCTCTGTACCCTTTCATCATCTTTACCCTTTATCATCCTCTGACCCTTTATCATCATCTTTACCCTTATCATCCTCTACCTTTATCATCATCTTTACCTTTATCATCCTCTTCCTTTATCATCTTTCCTTTATCATCTCTGTACCCTTTATCATCATCTTTACCTTTATCATCCTCTTTACCCTTTATCATCATCTTTACCCTTTATCATCCTCTGTACCCTATCATCATCTTTACCTTTATCATCCTCTTTACCTTTATCATCATCTTTACCCTTTATCATCCTCTGTACCCTTTATCATCCTCTGTACCCTTTATCATCCTCTGTACCTTTATCATCATCTTTACCTTTATCATCCTCTGTACCCTTTATCATCATCTTTACCCTTTATCATCCTCTGTACCCTTTATCATCCTCTTTACCCTTTATCATCCTCTGTACACTTTATCATCATCTTTACCCTTTATCATCCCTTTATCCCTTTATCATCCTCGCCTTTATCATCCTTTGTACCCTTTATCATCCTCTGTACCCTTTATCATCCTCTGTACCCTTTATCATCTCATCTTTACCCTTTATCATCCTCTGTACCCTTTATCATCATCTTTACCCTTTATCATCATCTTTACCTTTATCATCCTCTGTACCCTTTATCATCCTCTGCACTTTATCATCATCTTTACCTTTATCATCCTCTGTCCTTTATCATCCTCTGTACCCTTTATCATCCTTTGTACCCTTTATCATCCTCTGTGCCTTTATCATCCTCTTTACCCTTTATCATCATCTTTACCTTTATCATCATCTTTACCTTTATCATCCTCTTTACCCTTTATCATCATCTTTACCCTTTATCATCCTCTGTACCCTTTATCATCATCTTTACCACTATCATCCTCTTTACCCTTTATCATCATCTTTACCCTTTATCATCCTCTGTACCCTTATCATCCTCTGTACCCTTTATCATCATCTTCTTCCTTTATCCTCTGCCCTTTATCTCCTCTGTACCTTTATCATCATCTTTACACTTTATCATCCTCTGTACCCTTTATCATCCTTTGTACCCTTTATCATCCTCTGTACCCTTTATCATCCTCTGTACCCTTTATCATCCTCTGTACCCTTTATCATCATCTTTACCCTTTATCATCATCTTTACCCTTTATCATCCTCTGTACCCTTTATCATCCTCTGTGCCCTTTATCATCATCTTTACCCTTTATCATCATCTTTACCCTTTATCATCCTCTGTACCCTTTATCATCATCTTTACCCTTTTCATCATCATCTTTACCCTTTATCATCCTCTTAACACCTTTATCATCCTCTGTACCTTTATCATCATCTTTACCCTTTATCATCCCTCTGTACCTTTATCATCCTCTGTACCCTTTATCATCATCTTTACCCTTATCATCCTCTGTACCCTTTATCATCATCTTTACCCTTTATCATCCTCTGTACCCTTTATCATCATCTTTACCCTTTATCATCCTCTGTACCCTTTATCATCCTCTGTACCCTTTATCATCATCTTTACCCTTTATCATCCTCTGTACCCTTTATCATCCTCTGTACCCTTTATCATCATCTTTACCCTTTATCATCCTCTGCCTTTATCATCCTCTGTACCCTTTATCATCATCTTTACCCTATCATCCTCTGTACCTTTATCATCCTCTGTACCCTTTATCATCATCACCTTTATCATCCTCTGTACCCTTTATCATCCTCTGTACCCTTTATCATCATCTTTACCCTTTATCATCCTCTGTACCCTTTATCATCATCTTTACCCTTTATCATCCTCTGTACCCTTTATCATCATCTTTACCCTTTATCATCCTCTGCTACCCTTTATCATCCTCCTGTACCTTATCATCATCTTTACCCTTTATCATCCTCTGTACCCTTTATCATCCTCTGTACCCTTTATCATCATCTTTACCCTTTATCATCCTCTGTACCCTTTATCATCCTCTGTACCCTTTATCATCCTCTGTACCCTTTATCATCCTCTGTACCCTTTATCATCCTCTGTACCCTTTATCATCATCTTTCCTTTATCATCCTCTGTACCCTTTATCATCCTCTGTACCCTTTATCATCATCTTTACCCTTTATCATCCTCTGTACCCTTTATCATCCTCTGTACCCTATCATCCCTCTGTACCTTTATCATCATCTTTACCCTTTATCATCCTCTGTACCCTTTATCATCATCTTTACCCTTTATCATCCTCTTGCCCTTTATCATCCTCTGTACCCTTTATCATCCTTTCTTTACCTTATCATCCTTCTGTACCTCTTTTTATCATCCCCTTACCTGTCAATCACATTGTTACTAAGATCTTGTTGACCCCTGACAATCGACAGGTAAACGCGTTCTAGACTCTACCTGAAAATAGACCAATAATCTTAGTTTGTTTGTTGTGGGGACTGGGAGGAATAATGGCACGAAGATGCTACAATTTAGTGGCATTGTCTGTTACCTGTTTGAACTTGGGAGGTGAAAGGTGGAAATCGTGGTGGTGTAAGATCGGCTACACCACCCACCCACCCACCCACCCACCCACCCACCACTCACCCACCACCTACCCACCCACCACCACCCACTCCACCACCACCCACCCACCCACCCACCCACCACCCACCCACCCACCCACCCACCCACCCACCCATACCCACCACCACCCACTCACCCACCCACCCACCCACCCACCACCCACCACCCACTCACCTACCCACCTACCCACCTACCCACCCACCCACCTACCCACCACCTACCTACCCACCTGCATGCCTACCTGCCTGGGGGATTATCTTATTAGGGTTTTAACTCAAGTGATGACCCGCCACCAAATAGTGTCATTAGATTGTGAATTACATCTCCTAAATATTGAGATTCAAATGTTACAACAGTTGTCTTAAATCACCAACGATAACAATAGTGGTCGCTGTGATCTAGGACCAGAAAATAAGGGATTTCCAGGAGATAGCGACTTATTCGGAGCTCACAGGAGCAAAACAAAAGAGAATAGGTTGGTGGGGAATTATCTGTGCTACGTAATTGTTAAATGACTACAGAGACGGGGGACAATTGCATGTTGTCGTGGTTTGCTGTTTGTGTCTTGTTGGTGTTCTTGTTGCTCGTCTTGTTGGGTGTTCTTTGTTGCTTGGCGTCTTGTTGGGGTGTTCTTGTTGCTTGGCGTCTTGTTGGGGTGTGTTCTTGTTGCTTGGCGTCTGTTGGTGTCTTGTTGCTTGGCGTCTTGTTGGGGTGTCCTTGTTGCCTTGGTTCTTGTTGGGGTGTTCTTGTTGCTTGGCGTCTTGTTGGGGTGTTCTTGTTGCTTGGCGTCTTTGGGGTGTGTTCTTGTTGCTTGGCGTCTTGTGGTTAGTGTGTTCCTTTGTTGCTTGGCGTCTGTTGGGGTGTTCTTGTTGCTTGGCGTCTTGTTGGGTGTCTTTGTTGCTTGGCGTCTTGTTGTGGGTTTTTGTTGCTTGGCGTCTTGTTGGGGTGTTCCTTTGTTGCTTGGCGTCTTGTTGGGGTGTTCCTTGTTGCTTGACGTCTTGTTGGGGTGTGTTCTTGTTGCCTGGCGTCTTGTTGGGTGTTCCTTTGTTGCCTGGCGTCTTGTTGGGGTGTTCCTTGTTGCTTGGCGTCTTGTTGGGTGTTCTTGTTGCTTGGCGTCTTGTTGGGGTGTTCCTTGTTGCTTGGCGTCTTGTTGGGGTGTTCCTTGTTGCCTGGCGTCTTGTTGGGGTGTTCTTGTTGCCTGGCGTCTTGTTGGGGTGTCCTTGTTGCCTGGCGTCTTGTTGGGGTGTTCCTTGTTGCCTGGCGTCTTGTTGTGTCCTTGTTGCCTGGCGTCTTGTTGGGTGTTCTTGTTGCCTGGCGTCTTGTTGGGTGTCTTGTTGCCTGGGTCTTGTTGGGGTGTTCCTTGTTGCTCAGTCTTGTTGGGGGTGTTCTTTGTTGCCTGGCGTCTTCTTGAGGGTGTCCTTGTTGCTTGGCGTCTTGTTGGGGTGTCTTTGTTGCTTGGGTGTCTTGTGCCTCTTGTGCTTTGCGTCTTGTTGGGGTGTTCCTTGTTGCTTGACGTCTTGTTGGGGTGTTCTTGTTGCCGGCGTCCTGTTAGTGTTCTTGTTGCTTGACGTCTTGTTGGGGTGTTCCTTGTTGCTTGCGTCTTGTTGGGGTGTTCCTTGTTGCTTAGTCTTGTTGGTGTCCTTGTTGCTTGGCGTCTTGTTAGTGTTCCTTGTTGCTTGGCGTCTTGTTGGGGTGTTCTTGTTGCTTGGCGTCTTGTTGGGGTGTTCCTTGTTGCTTGGCGTCTTGTTGGGTGTTCCTTGTTGCTTAGCGTCTTGTTGGGAGTGTTCTCTTGTTGCTTGGCGTCTTGTTGGGGTGTCTTTGTTGCTTGGCGTCTTGTTGGGGTTTTGTTGCTTGGCGTCTTGTTGGGGTGTTCCTTGTTGCTTGGCGTCTTGAGTGTTCTTTACGTCTTGTTGGGGTGTTCCTTGTTGCCTGGCGTCTTGTTAGGTCTCTTGTTGCCTGGCGTCTTGTTGTGTTCCTTGTTGCTTGGCGTCTTGTTGGGGTGTCTTTGTTGCTTGCGCGTTGGTGTTCTTGTTGCTTGCGTCTTGTTGGGGTGTTCCTTGTTGCCTGGCGTCTGTTAGTTCTTTTGTTGCCTGCGTCTTGTTGGGTGTTCTTTGTTGCCTGGCGTCTTGTTGGGGTGTTCCTTGTTGCCTGGCGTCTTGTTATGTTCCTTTGTTGCCTGGCGTCTTGTTGGGTGTTCTTGTTGCCTGGCGTCTTGTTGGGGTGTTCTTGTTGCTTGGCGTCTTGTTGAGTGTTCTTGTTGCCTGGCGTCTTGTTGGGGTGTTCTTGTTGCCTGGCGTCTTCTTGAGGGGTGTTCTGTTGCTTGGCGTCTGTGTGTCTTTTCTTGCGTCTGTTGGGTTCTTGTTGCTTGGCGTCTGGTTGGGGTGTTCCTTGTTGCTTGGCGTCTTGTTGGGGTGTTCTTGTTGCTAAGCGTCTTGTATTGGGGTGTTCCTTGTTGCCTGGGCGTCTTTATTGTTACTTCATCTTACTCGGTCATCAGTGTTACTTATACAGATTCACAGTCACAAAGTTATCAAAAGGTGTCTAATGTTTTAAGTAACTTTCAAAATACCTGTAATTATTTTTTTTTTACGGGGATAAATCCTCCGGGCACAGGTCACTGACTCCACACGGGGCCTGGGGGGCGAGGGGGAGGGGGGCGAGGGAGGGGGGGCGAGGGGGGAGGATTAAACCAGAAATATATAAAAAATATAAGAAATCTCGTTCATGATCTACTTACGATATTCTGCATGGGAGAGAGAGAGAGAGAGAGAGAGAGAGAGAGAGAGAGAGAGAGAGAGAGAGGACTGTCGAGGACCTGCCAGAAGATATACCTGAGGTAATTGAACTCTGTCACACACACACACACACACACACACACACACACACACACACACACACACACACACACACACACACACACCTGCCTAATCACATGTGTGTCGCTTTAGTGACATACGTGAGGAGTCACATGAAACATTTTTTTCCGTATGAATCAAACATTTTCTGAGTGAGCATTTGAAGTAGCTTTTATGTATTCCTGACAGTCATAAGGGATGTGTGTGTGTGTGTGTGTGTGTGTGTGTGTGTATCTATGTTATATGTCTGTGTATTTGTTCTGCAGGTAAGGTGGGCAAGTCTGTTGTTGTTGCTGGTGGGCAAGACAGGTAAGGTGGGAAGTCTGACGCTGGAGGTGACGGTGGTGGTGGGCAAGAGAAGTACAGGGCAAGTCTGATACTGGAGGTGACGGTGGTGGGAAGAGAAGAGGTGGCGCAAGTCTGATACTGAGGTGACGGTGGTGGTGGGCAAGAGAAGCGGCAGGGCAAGTCTGACGCTGGAGGACGGTGGTAGGGCAAGAGAAGTAAGGTGGGCAAGTCTGACGCTGGAGGTGACGGAGGTAGGGGAAAAGATAAGCAGGGCAAGTCTGACGCTGGAGGTGACGGTGGTGGTGGGCAAGAGATAAGGGCAAGTCTGACGCTGGAGGTGACGGTAGGGAAAGAAGTAAGGTGGGCAAGTCTGACGCTGGAGGTGACGGTGGTGGTGGGCAAGTCTGACGCTGGAGGACGGTGGTGTGGGCAAGAGTGGTAGGTATAGATGATTTTTCATACACGTGTCTCAACAGGTGAGACAAGTTCTAAAGTGAGTCCAACACCTGGGGTCTGCACAGGTGTAACCACCTTACCGCTGCTCTATACCTGAGTTGTGACGTGACGTGTGTGTGTGTAAGACGTGTGTGTGTGTGTGTGTGTGTGTGTGTGTGTGTGTGTGTGTGTGTGTGTGTGGTGACGTGTACGTGTGGTGCGTGTGTGTGTGTGTGTGGTGACGTGGTGACGTGTGTGTGTGTGTGTGGTGACGTGCGGTGACGTGTGTGTGGTGACGTGTGTGTGTGTGTGTGTGTGGTAATGTGTGTGTAGACGTGTGTGTGTGGTGACGTGTGTGTGTAGACGTACGTGTGTGTGTGTGTGTGTGTGGTGACGTGTGTGTGTGTGTGTCGTATTTGTCGTCTTTTATCGTGGTTTAAGTTGATTAAACAGTTATTAAAAAATAATAATATTGTAATGTTTATCATTGTAAATTTGGAATTATATTTTACGTTAGTCTTTTATTATTTTTTAAGATTTTTATTTTTTATGTTTTAGTGTTATATTTTATTTTAGGTATTTATTAGTGTTTATGGTTTATGGTTAGATTTTATTGGTGTTTAAATGTTTTTTTATTGATATTTATGTATTTTGAAAGATGTTAAATTCGCGTGTTTCCCGGTTAATTTAATGATGTGTTTATTAAAGTTTTCTTGTTTATTTCTTTCACCAGTTTGAATATTTTTGTTTCTTGAATTTAATTTTACTTTTCCTATATATAATTTTTATTTTATTGATGTGTTTAGAATATGTTTGAAATTTATTAACTTTTTTCTTTTATGTATTAATTTTGTCATTTAATTTTAAGAGTATTTTTTCTCACTTTATTATATTTTTGCATATTTTTCCAAGTCTGTTTTATTATTATTATTTTTTTACTTTTGATTATTAATATTTTTATAATTAGTTAATAAGTGATGATTAAACCTAGCAATTGAGGAGAGACAGGTAGAATGTTGGCAGGTGATTGAGGAAGGGGGATGGGGGATGAGGAGGGGAAGTACTGTAGAGGTGGGGAAGAGGAGAGGTAATGAGGAGAGGGGCTGAGGTGAGAATGTAGAAGGCTCTGAGGGGGGAGGAGGAGGAGAAGGGTGCTCAGGAGGAGGTGGGGGAAGAAGCAGGTGTTCAAGAATCTCACCTGACTCACCTCACCCTGAACGTTCAATACCCTGTTCCTAGTATGTCCTGTTAGGTTAGGTTAGGTTAGGTTAAAGAAGGTTAGGACAACACATTCTGGGGTTAACTTAAAGAAGCAAAGAAGTAAGCTGGGTTAGGACAACACATTCTAAGTTAACTTATGAGCTGCGAAGATCCGGTACTGGTCAGACTTAAGTTATCCCACAGTCCCTCGTTTTTCTACACACACGTCCTGGAGGTGACCTAGGGTGGGGTGGGGTGGGCAGGAGGGGCAGGAGCCTGGGGCAGGTGGGCAGGAGGGGCAGGAGTTTGGGGCAAGGGCAGGAGGCTGGGTGCTGGGTGGGCAGGAGGCTAGACATGAGTGGACAGGAGGCTGGGGTGGTGGGGCAGGAGTCTAGGCGAGGGTGGGCAGGAGGCTAGGCGGTGGCAGGAGGCTAAGGCGAGGTGGGCAGGAGGCTAGGCGTGGGTGGGCAGACAGGGAGGGAGAGGATGAGGTAGGCAGGGTATGCTCAAGGTCGGCTCTGCATGGGTTGGGCCATAGCTGTAAATTCGTCGTCCAAAAAACCGAATTCACGTTAATCCTGGTTCAACCATTTCGTACCCTAAATCCAGGTTGTTTTTCTTGTTTAGACCTCATTAGTGTTTGCTGTGCCATTAATCCTATTTCTGGTTATTGTTATATCATTATTTATGTTATGACCCCGTGAACAGCTAAGGTGTTTTGGGTATATAAATATTTTTTTAAAACCAGACAAAGGCTAGTAAAAGATCAATTAAAGATTAGACACCCAAGTTTATCTCAGCTAAGATTAACTAAGATTAACCACCCCAATGGTAATCTAGATAAATTAAACCCAGGTAGAGATAGATCATCAATATTCTCACAGATGTTGGTCAATATTTCACAGATGTTAACAATATTTCAGCAGATGTTGGTCAATATTTCACAGATGTTGGTCAATATTTCATAGATGTTGGCCAATATTCTGCCAGACAAGTGGTCAATATTTCACAGATGTTGGTCAATATTTCACAGATGGTCAATATTTACACAGCATATGGACAAGTGAGGGTTAAAGGCTGAATGAGGGGGGAGGGGGGAGGAGGAGAGAATAAAGAAGAAAAAGATAATGATGAGGATGAGGAGAGATGATAGGATGAGGAGAGATGATGAGGAGGAGGTGTTGTGTGAACTCAGATCTGAGCACCCACACACCTTGTCTCATACCACCCAGCTGATCAAACACACAGGGGCCCAGGTGATGGTATGTGGCCTCAGACGCTTAGTATTATTACATATTACATACATATTATTATTATTATTATAGTCTATATAGTAAGCACATACATACACACACAGCACATACACACACACACAGCATACACAGCACAGCAATAGTATACACACACACACATATTAAGCACATGTTAAGCATTAGTACACACACACACACACACATTACACACATTATTATTATTACACATTATTATTGTTGTTGCTGTTGTTACATAATGTTACACATTATTATTATTAATATTATTATTATTATTATTATTGTTGTTGTTCTTATTATTGTTACATATTATTAATATTATTATTATTATTTTTTTTTTATTAATATTTTTTATTACATTAGTGTTACATATTATTATTAGTTAATAGAACTTTTTATATCCATTCAACCACCGACTCTGCTCTGTGTGTGTGTGTGATTTTTTTTATTGCACCCCTACATCCTAGTGTAAGGTAAAGGCAGAAGGTTTATAGCGTCTAACAGGGAAGCATGCTGGTTCATGCTTGCCTTTATGTATCATGGGTTAAGGGGCGTAGAAGCCTGAAGAGTCGAGGGCGTAAATTTGGTAAGAGCTGCGGGTTTGAGTTCATGTTATTGAAGCTCCAACAACTTGTCCCTGAATACGAATTCATGACTTTCGGACTTCATGCGCAGGTACCTACTGTGCTGCTAGGTGAACAGGGACGAAGGGAACTAGGCGATGTCCAAACAACTCTGCCGGCCCGAAATCAGGTGTTTGCGAGAGAGAGAGAGAGACAGAGACTTACGTTGCCTTCTTCTCTCACTCTGAATATTACACACTTTGACGTGTTATGTACTTCAGTAGAAACTTTCTCACCCCCTCCTGAACAACAACAGGTGAATAATACCCGGCTTCCCCTGATGCATGTGTTAAGCGATGGCTCTAGTCCACGTTGTGCTTCTTCGGCTGATTTGACTCTTACTTTATTCAGGTTTGGGGCGAAACGTGAAGTAAATAGTGAATGATTTGGTTCTGAGGAGAGACTCTGTGTGTGTGTGTGTGTGTGTGTGTGTGTGTGTGTGTGTGTGTGTGTGTGTGTGTGTGTGTGTGTGTGTGTGTGTGGGCCTAGCCACAGAGATGGCATGATGGATGTGGTTGGTCACTGGTGTTGCTTAGTGGCTCCCCAAGTGGGTGGTGGCTGACTTGCAATGTTCTGATAATTTATTCACGTACGCCAGGTGTGTCTCTCAGTGGTGCTGGAAAACCTTACTCACGACGACCAATGGTATTTATTTGTTCCTGTTTTATGAGCAACTGTACACGACCAACGGCGGGATGTAACTTGGCAGATATGTTCATTAGATCATGATGCAAGGTAGGATGTTATCAGGATATCCTGACAATAATTTATTTTCTTTCTGTAG